ATGATGATGATGATAATGATAATGATAATAATAATAATAATAATAATAATAATAATAATAATAATAATAATAATAATAGTTATAATAATAACAATGATAACAATAATGATGATGATGACGGAGATGATTGTGATGATGATAATAATGATGATGATGATGATGACGATGATGATGACGATGATGATGATGATGATGATGACGATGATGATGATGATGATGATGATGGTGATAATAATGAGAATAATAGTAGACGGTAGCGATAGTAGCAGCAGGAGAGTCCGTATTAATAATATATAATGTTTGGCATCGTTATTTCCGTGTCTGTACAATAGTTCGCTTATGCGGAAACACTTCGATGTTTTCTAATCATCGAAATTTGTTCCGTTTTCTTTTGTATACAAAAATTCGTGTCGCATTTTGGTTATTTAACAATGTGTTCCCAATATTAGCGATATTACAAATTGGTTATTGATAGATTTAATGAACCGATATAATGATCAGCTAATAATAACGTAATAATAATAATGGTAATGTTATCTAATTAATAATAACAGCAACTAACAAATTAAATATCATAATACAACTAAAACACGTTAAATCGAGTTTGTATAAAAATGTCTCACGTATCTGACGTATTTAACGAAAGAAATAATGGTATCAGCAGCAGCAGTAGCAGCGACAATAATTAATTCTACTAACAAAATATATAAAATTGTTACAGAAATTTGTTATCGTGGACAGCGTCTGGACAACTTCAAATATTACACACTAATTATTTTACTAACAGAGCAAGAATCTACGTGTTCACGCCAATAAGAAAGAAACATAAAGGAGAAACAGTATAGAAAGGAAGGGAAGTCGATATATTTTTAAATGCGACGTATTTTTGATATACCGCTTATAGGAGGAAATAAGAATTTGGCGCTCTTTATTGACAACCGATATCAACGTAAACAAGGTTTATAATGTTAACGTAACGTTAAAGAAGACGCATAGAATTTTTTTTTGTCACCCGGTTCTTCGAAATTGTCATACATGTTAATTGGTGTCGATATAAAAAGAGAACAGAAGAAAGAAACTGAGGAAAATTCTTGGTTGCAAGTCAGAGGAATACTACATATACATATTAATGAATATTTGAAGTAACTAGCGGCGATCTTTCTCGTGTTTCAATTTTCGCGCGTTCTGAAGTACTTTCCAATATGGCGGACTATCGAAACTATCTCTGAATCGGTTAAACGTACACGCTTCCGATAGGTTTGAAAAGAAGAACAAATGCATGGTAAGAGAGCACCACTCGTTTGAGAAAATATTTTCTCTTCACGAAGAAATTAATAATAAGTTATAAGTAATGGCATGCTTGTACTATCTGTCGTGAAGCAATACGACGACCGTGTCATGCTTCTTCATCGCTGTCTCAAAGAAGTTATTATTGAAACGAATAAACGGTAAACTATAAACTATAAAGCTTGATTATACATTTTAAACGCGCCAAAAATCGATATATCCTGCACTTTGTATGGATCGTTTGATTTATTTTTAGTTTCCCGATTCGCCGAGGACTCGAACATGATGTCAGGTCACTGGATATGATTCTCGGATATGGATGACGACGAAAAACATTCTTTAATGGTACTTTAATTTGTAAAACGTTTGCTGCTGGGCCAACCGAGCGAACACTTCCCTACTTCTTACGATTTTTGGGTAATATGAATTTTTTCAAAACGGTGGCACGCGTTGAAATTTTATTCATAATCATATTTTATATTTTCAAATTTATGAAATTTTAAATCGCATTCATTGATTTTGCAGAACAGAAGGGAATAATAAAAAATAAAAGGCAAATGTTTTAACAATTTGTCTTCAATGTTAATGCGAAAGTCGAAAGAATGGGAAAGAAACAGAGGCCGAAATCGATCCTTGTTACTTCGGTGAGGGCTTTCACGTTGCTGCGTCCAACATACGTTCGGCTTTCAGGAGATGAATACTTCAACGACGACGGTCTTCGATATGCATAAATCAGTTGAACGCGCAGCTGGCTCAGCAACACCGACGCAACAGCCGAGTTAACGCGCAAGTTCAATATTACACTTTTTAATGCCAACCACTTTCTTTATCCCCAAAGTAATCGAGAATTGAAGCAACGTATGTTTTTTTTTCCTGCAATTTAAACACGTGATACGTGTACAGTGTGTATAAACGAATACATGTTTTCTTTCTATATACAAATTATATACGGACTTATATCGTTTATATCTAAAAGCAACTCGCGCGAACTCATACGTCGGAACAATTACTTTTGGTACTGTTTCAATTATTTTTCGTAACCGATTCCTCAAACATCCGCGAAATTACAAACTTTCCAATAATTTATTCCTTTTTTTTTTTTAATACTTTGCGAGCACTTTTTAATTTTCAATTTCATTTAATTTAATTATCAATTTCAGAGTGATACACGAAGTCGGAGGAACCGATCATGGATTTTTCTGCTGCGACTGGTACACTAAGCTTCAGGATGTGCTTAAGGTACGCATTATGGGTTTCTTTATACTATCTTAGTCTAAGCGTATCAAGGGACGGAGCGTTGAACAGGCCAAGATTACTAGAGCCGAACATCATCAGCGATTGCAGATTTGAGGAAAGAAATCTATGTATCGAATAAACACGTTTCTACGTAAATTGATTCAACGTAAACACCATAGCAAGCAGACATCATTTGTAAAGTACTTAAGAAAGAAAAAGAATCTCCAAATTATGCTGTTAGATTATAATTCTATTGAAAAACTAAACGAAAGTGTAATAACGACAGGAAATTCGAAGGAACTGAGTTATAAAAGGTTTTATACAGTCTCTTCACAAAGATGCCTGTGGCGTCAGCTTCTTCCGATAATCGTCCCTTTTGATAAACTTACTCTCTTTCATACTCACACTCACAGACTTAAATTAGTAAAAAAATGAACCTTTCCCTTTACCACCTCTGCTTGGATCTAAAATGCGACAAAGAGGGTGAGCGTGTGAGACGCGTGGATATACGGTGGAGAAAAGTGATATGTGTTCTCTTATAACGCATCTAGGAAAAACTAACGCTCTCTCTTCTTTTCTCTTTTGCCTTCTTTCTTGTATATACACACAGACGCACGAACACACACACGCACACGATCTTTTGATATTGTGTTCGATAATAAACCGACTACATCGATGCAAATAACAAGAATGTAAAAAGAAATTCGCAATTCGTGAGACGAAATGTAATTTGAACATGAAGCAACAGAAACTGGAAATGAGATCGAGTTTTGATTTGCATTGTCTTGTTCCTGTTCGATGTTTGTTACCGCTCAAAGCTACATTTCTTCCTCTTTTCTCACATGTATAACATAACATATTTTAACAACGACTAATTTGCGTTTTTTCTGTTTTTAATTACTTATTAACGTAGATAAAAGACGGGGTCTATGTGGTGGAAGAATAAAACGAGGGCGAAGGAGTGAAACGTCGACTACTTTGAGCGGCCAATTGGATCCGAACGAGCTATAACTCGTTTTTGATACACGTCACTTGCATTCAATAACTACTATCGTGAACGCAGCTTTAGAATCTGTACAAAGCTACTAAAAAGTACATGTTTTACGTATATGCGGTTGTACGGACGAGTTTCGTTTAAGAAGTAAATCGACCTGTTCACTGTATCCATCTGAGGATGAACTATGAGTCAATGGATTTTGAGATACTCCAAGTGGAACATTTATAAAATATTTATACAAGAATATAGATAATATTCATAAGCCAGTGTAAACTTCTACTGGAAAACTATAGAATCGTTAAGTAAATTAAATAACTCTTTTTAAGCATTACATTCTGCTTGGAATATCCAAAAAAATCAACAAAAGACAATAATTCAGGCAGAAACATAAAAATGAACAATTATAATTTTCATACTTGCAATTCCATTGTTTTCGTATTTTGTTTTATAAGTTAGTCATGCAGATGCATAATGATGATGCATTTCGATTTACTAACCACGTTTGTCACAAGTGGTTTTACTGTTGTGCTTTGAATACATTTCTTTTTCGTGGTTATGCACACGATGGTGGGTAAGAAATTTTTCGAAACGCTTAATAGTCATTTGATACTTCTTTTCTCCCTCTCTTCTCTTATTTATGAAGTTGCGAATATGATGATTCGTGTCAATTCAGCCTGCCCCCTATGGTAATAACCCATATCTCTTCCCTTCGTCGACTTTTCGCATGAGAACTCCTATCATTTTTCCCGATACACGGTCAGTATAGTAAAGGCACGCGATAAGAAATGGAAGGATAAGATCAAAGAGGTACAATCATGATCGCATTATGCGTTTCTCCCCTTTCAATTAAATTTGATGTCCGACCGTTACCTTTCACCATACAACACACCACGTGATCTTCTCTTATCAATTATTACACTAAGACCTAACTAACGCAAAACCAAGGATAAATGGAACTTTCAGTAATATAATTATTAATTAACTACCTTTAAAGAAGAAATGAACTCTGGTGGGAGTCTAAGAAAATTAACTATGAAAATGTACTAATCTAAAAAGAAATTGATTATATAAAATTTTATTATACATTAGGATAAGAATTATGTAAGGAAACTTTTTTAATAATTTCATTCAACTACGATGTACAACGAAAATTTGTCTAATCGATAATAATTATGCAAGTATGATGAGTTCCGCGAATAACAAGAAAATCACATGAAGTTTAATAACAAACGCATTTTTCTTCCACGTGGTATCGCTCAGTTGGGATAAGTGTGAAAGGCCTTTACGAAAAACCTCGGGAACGTACGTTTCTTTCAAAAACGAATTTTCTTTTTTTCCTTTTTTTAATGCGCTTAATCGAGTATTATCTGATTCATAAACACTCGCTCGCTCTCTCTTTCTCTCTCTCTCTCTCTCTCTCGCTCGCTCGCTCTCTGTTAGGGACTTCTAAATACACGTTATCTTATTTTTTTTTTATATCAGATAAATCTTAATCTTTAATTTAATTGTTACTTTTAATATCATGAAAATTCGAAAAATCGCAATTAACTTGTTTCTTCTTTTTTCTCCTATCCACTGGTTTCTCTTTCTTTCTATCGCTCGCGTGCTCTCTTTCTCTCTCTCTCTTTCTCTCTTTTTGGTTTTCTTAGCATACGTACGTTTATTGTTTATGAGATGTGTGTATAAAAAAATATGAATCGTTTCATTTCATCTATTTAGAGGTAGATGCGCAGGAAACAGAAGCAGTATTCTTATCTTTCTTTTTTTCTTTTATTCAGTTTTGTATCTTCTTTATGTAGCTTTCTTTTCTTTTTTTTGCGTGAATACTATTGCTGAAAAGCCTGACTTTTCTTATTTCTTCGTTTTCTTTAATATCCCTCACGGTTCGAACGATATTTGATCCATTTATCTTTTGTCCCTGATAATTCTACGTCCTACGATAGTCTGTAAATCGGTAAAATTAAGGAAACTCATCTTTCGTCTGCTGAATGACAGGAAAACAATTCTTTTTCATCTTTAAAACAAACATATTGAATATCTGGCCAAATAACTTACAAAATATTTATGCCATCTGACAAAATGATTTAATAATCTTTCCGTTCTTCAATTATAATCCCTAATTACTATAGAAAACACTTAGGAGTTCGTGATGACAAAAGAAATGATGATTCAACCTAACACAAAAGACGCAACGAGACTATATATAGGTTATAAAACTTGAGATTTCTTTTCTTCTAATTCATTTACTTCACATAATGGCACATCTTGGCCTGTTTGACGCGAGAAAAAGAAAAGAAAAGAATGTATATGCTACATTTGGTTAAGTGCCCCAAAAGAAAAAAAATCACCTACAAAATCAAATCGGCTGTATGCACAACACGTGTATGTAATATCGTAATAGGAGTGTGTTTTTGCGAGTATATATGTACAATTTGTAGCATTAAAAAGACAACTATCGTAATAGTAATAATAATAATTATACCAGTAGTAATAATAATAATAATTATAATTATAATTATAATAATAATAATAATAATAATAATAATAATAATAATAATAATAATAAACAAAAATAATAATTACAACGATGATAATGGTGATAGTGGTAATAGTGATAATGAAAATAATAATAATGATGATAGTTATAATGATGGTGATGATAATGATCATAATCATAATCATAATCATAATCATAATCATAATACTAATACTAATAATAATAGTGATAGTGGTAATAGTAGCAGTAGTTGTGTAATAGCAACAGCAGCAACAGTAGAAATGAGACTGATAGTGGTAGTTATAATAATAGTAGCAGTAGTAGGAGCAACAATAGTAATAGTAGTAGAAGTAGGAAGAGTAACAGAAGTAGCAACAATAGTTAAAGTAGTAGTAGAAGTATTAGTAGTAGTAATAATAATACCAATAATAATAATGAAAATGATGCTGATGATGCTGATGATGATAATGACAATGATAACAATAACAATAACAATAATAATAATAATAATAGTGATAGTAGTAGTATTAGAAATAGTTGTAGCAATAGTAATAGCAGCAGTAGCCATAATAAGAATAGAAATAATAATATAATAAAAATAATAATTATAATATTAAGAATAATAACAATAACAATTACAATAATAATGATAATGATGATTATGATAAAATGAAGGTGAAGATGAAGAAGATGATGATGATAATGATGATGATGATGAAGGTTATAATCATATTAATATTAATAATAAAAGTAAAATAATAATAACATTAATAATAATAATAATAATAATAAAAATTGGAACGTTAATGGAAAGTAGCGATGATAGTTTTGCATATTACGTAATTATATATGTACAGAATAAACCCGACACTTTGACGAAGTAGCAACACGAAAAAGAGAAAACAACAAACGTTAAACACGATATAGTTAAACTCGAAGCGCGTCGATGAAACAAAACGAATACATAGTCAGATTTTCATTTCCTGACGTGAAATGCGCAGTAGCTTTTAACAAATCTCTGGAACTCTTTCTCTTCGTTTCTTTCAATCTTGGTTGATTTGCTCATTACACGTTATTATACACTCTCTCTTTCTCTAATCTCTCTCTTCAACTTCTCTATTCCCGAGAAAAAACAATGGAATAAACGCAGAGACGTTAATTCGCCTTGTAAAAACGTTGCATGCTGTAATTTTAAATCGTGTACCTTTATTGCGTGTGTGTGGTCCTTTTCTCGACACCAAACACCCTGACATCATACCCTGAATTTTACTCTTTTTCCCCGTATTTTTCGTTTTCCGTTCTTCATTCATTTCCAATCCCCTCCTCTTCACGAAGTCGAGGTGGTTAATCGTGACACACACGGCTCGGTCAGAGAAAAGGGAAGAAATGCTTGTCAACAGAAATTTGCACAAACCAGCAATGTGATTGCTGGAATCTCTGTGCCGAGTAGCGTCCCTGAGACCCGTGACAGTTGGCGCTAGTGTACTTGGGCGGCTTGGCGTCAGTCGCTACCAGTTCCGCTATTTCCAAAGTATTCCCCAGCGTCGCCGCGGCAAATTGGACAAGTTCGATTTGACTGTAATCAGAAAATGAGCAAACCAACATGGTTAATTTTAATTTTTAACTTAAGGATCTTTGTTCTAATATAATTGATTCATTATGTAATTAGTTTTGAGTTGCCAGGTAAGATACAAATTTTACTTCTAATATCTCTATATAATTAGACGTCGATAGTCTACAAATATTTTATTACCAACAAACGATTTACCTTCAGCCACTTGTCGATGCATTTTGAGTGGAATTCGTGTGAGCACGGCAGAACGCGCAGCGATTGTAGAGCCTCAAAGTCGCACATACAGACCACGCAATTAGTTTGGTCTCCCTGGTGCGTTTCCGCGTTAAATTTGTACGAGGGTAGCTGCTCCACTTCGGCTCGAGTTAGGCCTCGTGGCTTAGCTTCTCCTAATCTCTCCGCCAAGGATAGCAGGGCCTCGTAATTTTCGGTTGCCGAGTCTGGTGAAGATAATTCTCCTTGACTATACGGGGGCAATGTTGCATTGTTGAACATTGCGCTGTAAATCAAAAAATTCCGCAAATTAAACAGATGAAGTTATTATAAACTAAGTAAAGTCAAGACTGTTCATGGTAGAAGAATTTCATACATCTTATAATTCTTTTCCGATGTTCTTTATAAATCTGAATATCATTTAATAACAATGAAAAAATATAGGAACCCTGGACAGTACTAAATCAAGTATCAGCCACAATAATGAAACAATGATACTTACAAAAAATGTAACAAGAATCCTGTATAGGTAGTCGGCACTGGAAGCATACCTCTCCATCTGTTCGACCTGGATCGTCTGAGCGTGTGAACATTCGACGCTGTGCGCCGTGTTCTGGTCTGAATCATATCCAATTGACTGTTTCTCGTTTCTGATAAGAATATGGGAGTAGGAGTAGGAGTAGTGACTTGAGTGAGAGCTGGCGGAGAATATGAATGTGGTAATGCTGCACTGGCTGCAGCTCCTACTCTGTGGTGATGATGGGATTCCATTAATTCTAATTCAACTTCCCGCTATAACAAAGAAAAAAGGAACATTAGATAAATATTTTCTCTCAGCAATATATGAAAGAACTTATATATAACAATTTGTCTTATCTGAATCATACCTGTTGGGAGAGTTGATGGTGCGCATTGTAATGAGTAGTATGGACGGGTGGTGGTGACGCATGAGCGTGGTGGAGTGCTGTTACAGGACCTCCAGTTGGTGTAGGATAACCTCTGGATGCTGCACCTACTATCGAACCAACGAGGCTATGACCCGAGTGGGTCGGATGTGGAGCTGAGTAGTGACTATGGTGATGAGTGACCTGTAAAAATACGTTTAAAATAGCAGTATTTTTTCCAAACAAAATGCAGCATAAAAAAGAATGTATGGCTTTTATTTATACCTGACATGAATGCGCAAATGCTCCGGTCGGTGTATATATGCCATGTAACTGGCAAGGAATCCTATAACCTGTCGCCGGAGGATGCCAGAGCAGTTCCCTGCTAACGGTAACCTCCAAACCGAGTTGCCCAACTTCTACAACCACGGGACCATTTGCTCCTTGGGCAGGATGATGCCCAGTGCCCGGTGGATGATGAGGATGAGTCTGATGGGCGTTATGCATGTTATGATGCGAGTTATGTAAATTATGGTGCGAATTGTGAATGTTGTGATGAGAACTGAGGAGTCCGTGATGGGAACTGTGAATGGGCGGAAGAGGGGTGTGACCGGGCACAAAAGGATAGGATAAACCAAACGAATCCGTATATCGTTGATAACGATTTCTGATAGTTGGACTGCCGCGTGTGGACATGTGATTCCGAGGTGATCGCCTCTGAGGCGCTGCTGAGAATTCCCATGGAGGTGGAGTCGTGTGTAATGGCGGTGTAGGTGATGGTGGCGTTGTCTCACGGACTTCTATTCCAGAGACGGCACCATTGCGGGATATTCGACGACGTTTTCTAGATGGTGACTCGCTCTAAAAGTATACCGACATGGATTTCGTATCGAAAGTTGAAAGTTAAAGCAGTAGCAGAGATCTTACTAAAATATACTGTTTCATATACCTTTCTACCATCATCTTGACTAGGTTGTCTGTAATATGGCGGCGATGGCTGTATTTGTACAGGACTTAGAGGTAGCTGGTTTGTGGCTAGAAAAAGAAAAAAAAAAGATGAAATGTGACATTTTCTTTCAATCGTAAGTCCAAGTGCAATGAAGAGACTATAATGGTTGTCTGAACCAAGATTTATATCATTCCAAAAGTCCTGAGATACCTTGGGAACTTCTACGATACTCCATATCGACGCCGCTAGCTCCAAGACCTGGACTCATATTCAATAATGGACCACGCATCGTATTATCCTACAAATGTATAGATTTTTGAAAGAAAAATGAACGAGAAAGAAAGCAAGAAGGAAGTATACTTACTTGACCACAGATGTTAATGTGCAACGGCGGAGAATTAGCCGGTGGGCTCACGGACTCTTGCGGAAAATGTGCCGGTGGGCCTCTTGATTGCGGACTATGTTGCGGGGGCGGTTTGTACCCCACGCTAGACCCGCCTACGTTCCCGTGATACGAAACTTCCTTACCGTTTGGTCCGGAAGACGTACCAACGCCAGGGCAATCCCTAGATGTGTACAAAATTAAGATATCATCAATAATAGTACTACAAAGAAAACGATAAGTGTCAATGTTACGGTGAAATTGAATAGTTATGACTTTTTTAGTAGTGATTCGATAGACGTTTTTCAACTTACGTTAAACCTATGAATTCCCATTGTTATCATTAAGAATCTTGCTCATAACATTACAAAATTTCAATTCGATTGCATCGATATTAATAGTTTCTCAAAATTGTTACAGATCTTTTGGAATCACCGAATTAAGTACTTTCACCATAACGCCGACACACACATAGTTTAGCGTCGACTTTTCCTCCTTGAACACTATTTACGTCAGTTCTTGATCATTCACGTGTATCGATCTACCAAACAATTAGTATGCATAGTACCGAGCTAACGGCTCCGCGATATAATGCTGCGAAATAACATACTAATAAATACGAATCTCATGTACCGTGGATTACGAACATGGCGGCGACGTCTCTATTCTTTCTACCTTAACGCGTTTACCGACTCGCGATAAAACGACATTTGTTCGACTAGATACGTTGCAGAAACAATATTACTCCTAGCCACGCGCAGCTGAATAAATGTAGTCATATTATGAACGTGTTTACACGAATCGTTTACAATACCAATAAAATTACGATATGCTAGGAATTTAACGCGAAACATAGTTCTGTCCTCAGTTTTGAAGTCCCTAGACGAGATAATATAAAAGACGTGACGGGAAACATAAGTACAAAAAAGCGAACGTGTATATAACCATTCAAAAAGTAGTATTCATTCGGTGACATGCTAAACAAGATAACCAGTGAAGAGAATGTATAAATATTATACGTTATAAGTACAATAAAAATAGAGACGAGAAAAATCAAGAAGAAAAAATGATGAAACAAGAACAAATGATCAAATATTTGTATGATACATAAGAAAATTATATCCGTTATTGAATTATAAAAATTATTTCTGATTTGAGTTATAGTTTCAAGGTCGCGTGCTGTATGGAGTCTCATGCAGCAATGAACGGTTTCATGGCAGATTCGCGAAATGTAAATTTCGCAAAAGAGATATCGTAACGAACGAAAGTATAATTTAGCCACTATATATTATCTATACGCATAGTATATTAAATTGTGCCATATACGGGCGAATATCCTGTTTACATGTATATTATACTATTCTATACTACGTATAACATGATTTTAGGTGTGTATATACAAGAGCAGTTTCACAAAATCGTCTCAATAGAGCAAGCTTCAACCGTATTTTCGCATGCACACGCGTATTTATGTATCACGTAGTCTATGGACATATTGCGGTCGAATTTTTATCGACAAACTGCGATATCGTGCGTTTTCAGGTCGCGAAAAGTTAATCAGAGCAACAAACTCGAGAAACAAACAAGAAAAAATTGAGAAAAAAAGAAAAATGGTAAGTTTCAACTAGCTATCGAACACTAAAATGTCGTAGTGAAAATGATAATGCACCGCGGTTATAGCTGCAGGGTCGCAACTTGAGGACAACCCTGCACGCGTTTATTATCGTCGATTAGGATCGTCGGCTCTTCAATGTCGGTTATTCTGAAAATTAAATACAGACTTGCTAAGCCGAATACGTTGCTTAAACAGAGCACTTTCATGGCGACTGTTCAGTTTCGCTCTTCCATACCGATCGTTCATGTTGGTAAATGCGCGAACCCATCAACAAACGTTCGATTCTCTGTCTATCGATCGATCGATCGATACGACAGCGAATCGAAACTTTTACGGGAATTAAATGTATGCGTAGTTCCCGATATTACGAGAGATTATGTAACAATATTCCCGAATAAAGTCAAGCGATAATTTGCCTTATTACGCAATAACGAATCGCCACACTTCCGATCACTTTGACTATCGTAACCTCTTATGTCGATGGGTTGTGCATCATCGATAGGATGTTAACAAGTCGCGCATGACTGTGTACCAGAAAAGTAAACTGAAGAAAACAATATAAAAAAAAAGGAAGAAAAGAAAATTATATAAAATACACAAAATTAAAACAAAAAAAAATATCAATTTCTGTAATCGTGTACGACAAACGTAGTATAGAAAGCAAAAAAAAAAAAGAAAATTAAAAAATTAGCGATATGACAGGTAACTATGCACCAAAGATGCATTTGGTTCGTTATTGCAATGGTATACCCATTATGGAAGCGTGGTGGTGGACATTGTCGATACGGGTATTCCTTGTTGCCGGTGTATTGCTGGGGTATCTGGGCGTGCTGAGGGTGCTGATTATGGGGGTGCCATCCACCGCGGACGAGAGGTGGCGCTGGGGGGCGAGAGTGGGGCCCTGCCGTGGTGCCACCGGTTACTACGGCCCTGTAACGTCCCTGCATGCCCAAGCCGCGATGCTGATGACTCCCAGGGCCGTTCATTCCCTCCCCCTTCGCTCTGCACCGTTTCGATCGTATTATTCTACCCTCGTTCTCTCTATCACTCGTTTTCCGTCACTCTTACTTTTTCTTTTTCTTTCTCTTTCACAGTGAGCCTCGGTATCGCTCCACCTTTTTTTCCTGGTTTGTTTTCGTGGTTGAAACAGGACGACACGACGGCAAGGCTGAGGTTAACTTTGGCCGCCCAATTTCGCCCGATCTCGCACACGTTTCTGGCCCCTCCGTAAGAAACGTGCACGCCTCACGTTAACTCCTCCAATTTCGGCTATCGAGAGAAAACCTGGCGAGATATACGAACGTTACACGGCCAGGAGGCTAGATGATCGAGAGGTGATTTCCACCTCGCGCGCCGTTCTTTCGAAATGTCGAAAGAACATCCGAGCTCGCCGCCATGTTCGAGTGTTGCTCGAAACGCCAGGGCCGACGCTACCGACGTAAGTACCTCGTACTTTTGTTCAATTTTCTATATTTTTTAACAAAAATGTAATCATGCGTTTCTGTCTTTTACTTTTTAGTTCTTTATGCAAAATGCTACCTATTTTTATAAACAAAAGTAATACTATTCACGAATAAGAGAAAAAAGGTAAGTATATGATCTGAAAAGTATTTTCACAATGTAACAATAACGTGATTAAAAGACGAATGATGTTTCAAAATAATTTGTGACCATATATTAAATAATAGTAATTCTTTCTAAAAAATAATAATACAGAATTCCAGAAGCAGTAACAATTATATCTAAGAATAAAGAACCGATATAAACGGAAATAGTTTAATCGAAATTAACGACAGAAGCTGCAATTTTTATTTCGAAATATCATTTCCTATGACCGATTCGTTGATAAAGACATTCGCATGATTCTTCCGCTCCTGGTGGCGGCAAGTTCGGTTGTGTTTTCCGGCGCAGAAAAAAAGCTCTCCGCCACCTAGTCTCCATGTGCAACCATTTCCATTTCTCTCTTTTTTCTGTCACTCTTATTTTTCTTTCTCGTTTTCTTTTTGCAGAGATATACCCGTCAATCCTCATTTCTCTCGCTCGCCGTTAGCACACGTTTGCGCCCTCGTCATCATGTTAGCAGAGTCCGTCATGAAAAGGAGCGAATCGCGACGTATGCAAATTGAGCTTAATAATTCCGCGGGAATATTTATGAAATCACTGGGCGACCAGCCGTCGATTTTACTGCCCGTTCCTGTGCTCAATCGACGTCGAAATCCGAGAGAAGAGGTAAGAGGAAGGAAAAGAAGTATGCAATATGGAAAATATTCCGATAGGCATGAGAAACGATGATGACTATAAAGATTCGAATTTCAATTGTTAATTATTGCTTAGTTTAGTGACTTTCGAGTGAAATTGCATTCCTCGTTCCTGCTATACAGAGTGTTTCAAAATCTCGTTTCCCTTCTTATTCGAATAACCAAAGAGAACACACAGACAGCAAAGTATGGAGATTGTAATTTAATTTAATTTTTTTCCAGCGTATCTCAAGATTATTTCAAGATCATCCCAACATCATCTCACGCAATGTTTCACCAGAATGAGGAATTTACGCTGCACGTGACTATTTTGTGTAAGAAAAATTCTGTTATGTCTCGTTAGCTACTTTTCCGTACGGATGCATATGTTAAGACACCCTGTATGTTCGCAGTTGGTTGAAATTACGACAGACCCAGATGCGTTAAACGTTGACGTTCAACGACCAAGTCATTGCCTCCTTCGAGACCACGACACGTCCTCTTCTCTCGTTCCCTTGTCGTTCAATTCAATCAGCCAATGCATACGTTCAGAAAGAAAAAACGTATTCGGCGGAATCGCTCCTCTTCGATAGGCCGTTGACACGGCTAACGTTCAAGCGTGAAATGCTATATGAGAGTACACGAAACACAGACGGTGACAAATTCATAAAGAAGACAAAGCTACGTACAATATGCTAAAACTAAAAGTCAATCTTAAAATTTCGCTTTGTAGGTTGGCTATTTATAAAGCAGTGGACAGGTTAAAAGAAGGTGGAAGCAAAAGAACGATTCCTTATGAAAACTTTGTGCAAAGACCAGCTAAAGGTAAATGCAAGAAGCACCGCACTATACAAGAACAAAGAGAACCAGCATGCGAGAAGGGTATACACAGAGGATGCACGATCGTTGATAGGCGTGGATCGTTAATGGTATGCACGACTCTATGATTCCAATTGATCCTGGTACACAAAGATCACTGGAAATCGTCAAAATCCCTGTGAAATGCTTGCAACGTGTTTCTCGTTTCCGTGAAAGAATATTCCACAGGGCCTACAGGCAATTTGGGTGGTAGCGTTCTATAGCGCAGGCTAGAGGTACCATTTTCTGGTCCCTTTGTGTACCCACGGCGCACCGGCATCTTTTTTCTCATTTTTTCCCTCTTGGAACCAGAGAAGAGAGGCTGGGCCCTGGCCACGAAGTCCGAAGAAACGATTAGGTGAACCGGAATATCCAGGCCCCGTTGCTTTGGGCCAGCCTCTCCCTCTTTCTTTTTCTCTCTCTACTTTTGTGTGCAGTCCGTGGCTCCGTGAACAGTGGTAAGAAAAAAATATTCCTGGCGACTGGAAATAAGCCTTGGATTGTAGCGAATTTTCGATCTGGGCAAGAATACCATCCTCCTGTTGTCGAAGTATGGCACTTCAAAAAAAAGGCTACCATCGGATGAGGATCGAAGTCAAATATAAAAGGGATCTCGATTGTTTTTTCGGCTAAAATCTGAATACCACCTGCCTGTTTTTCTGTCGGGCAAGCTGAATGTATTTGGATTTGAGGAGACAATTATCTGGACGTTCACCATCGGATATGGCGTCTTTCTTCTCTTCGGGCTCGTGGTCACACGTTCTCCTTGAGTTAGCGTTCAGAGAGAAGTTCTTTCATGAGAGTGGACGGGAAAAGTCGCGATCACTAACGATTACTTGGTTGCAGGATGATGGAGTTGATGTTCTTGGTATGGAATTTATGTCAACATTTGCTGCTCGGCGATGGTAAAGTTTATGCTGTGCAATATGGCGACCCAAGTGAACTTCTTCTTTTACGCGATTTAGACATTTTTGATGCCTGAAAAACGGACGATTCGTGAACCGGTGTCTGTGAAGAGACTTTTAGGAACATCGGTGAAGAATCGTGCCTTCTGGAAGTTAAACTGAAGAGATACCAAAGACTGTTGCATCAGACTTCTACAATTATCTTTGAATAATCTGAGAACGGAGTATGCTATCTGTGAACTGCACGATCGTCGCGTTTCTTCCTTTTTTAGATCCCTTTTCTTGCCAGTTCAGAAGCCACTCGAAATATCGAACTTCTTTGTCAATTGATCAGAAAAATTCAAATGAGTCGTCGTACATAAAAGTATGCTTCGTTGTACACTATAGAACAAATATCTTGGAATGCAATATGAAAGGAGATGTAGATATTATTTATTTCGAATGTGATAGTTCAAAATGATACGTATCTACCAGAACGCTTAGCACTATACAAAGCTATAAGTAAAGATTAATAACGAAACTATCTGCTGGTCAGGTGGTCGGGTAGAATTTTTAGTAACCACCGGTGGCTGGTATCGAGAAACTAGATGGTTTGCACAGGGGCACCAGGTGAACACGCCATATGTCACGTGAGGAGATAAGGGTATCTAATAAAAGATAGTGAATTACTCGTTTAATTTTCATGTGATCGGTGATTCTTATTAACAATCAACAGATCTCGCGATATAGGCCATCTAAAATGAAGGCAAAGCATCCAGTTGCTTCATTTTGTATCAATAACGAAGTTTCTTTCGGTAGTTGGGTAAACAGAGAAGAAAATTTGTATTATCTCTAAATTGAATATTTATTGTTATATATTTAGACTGAAACTACCGATCTATAACGTGTAACTATGCTATATAGACACGATGATAATAATAATTAAAGTCGTACGTTGAAAATATATACGCGTACATAATCGATATTTTTATATGATTAAATGTCAACGTTAATTTCGTCAAAGTAGCTGTATGTTCGCGACAAATGCAAACGTAAGATATACGAAACCTGTTATTCTGATTGGTAGTCCTAGTTTAAATAAAGTGAACTATAAAAATGCTTGTATATTTGTACAGTATAATATCTACTGTTTAATTGTTGATCTTTGGTTTATTACAGTAGATACTCCTCAAGCTATCAATGACACTGACGTTTATTTCCTTCCAAAAGGATAATGGTGCACGTGTACTCCTAGTCTAAATGTACCATATGCTGGATATTTACTATGTCTTGGGTGCTGTATATCATTAACAGGGGTAAGGCAATGGGCGAAGCAACGTAACAGGTGCTATTAAATGCTACTTAACGTCTAATACATCTCTTTGACACAATAATAAGAACATCTCGATGGCTTTGTACCACAGTGATGGCGGAGGTCCATTTTCGTCAAAGGAGGAACGCGTGGAAACTTCGAACAAAGGACGAAAGCTTCGACATCGAGCTAATTCGATGCCGATTTCGTTCCAACAAACTCTTTTCACCGATCTGGCTTAATTTTACTCCGACAAGCAGCTTCCGATATACAACTCAATATCCGAGGCTACGTCTCAAATTCTCTATTTCTCCAGGCTTGAACTTTCTTCTTTCCCAATTCCCAAGGTTCCAAATATTTCAATTCTCCAATTTTGAAATATTACTCGTCGCATTTTCTAATGTACGAAATTTCAGGTCCAGAGAGTTTCAAGCAACTTCGACTCACGGTGGACCTAGAGGATTTCAGAGCACCATCCACGGGGTCGTCGAACACTGGAACGTAAGGGACGAAGGTACCCACAAACGATCAATCGTATGATCCCACGTGAATCGGATGGAATACGGCGTATTTCATGGAAAATAAAGAAATAACGAAGGAGTGTCTGGTCGCTAAAACCTCGAGACACGTTACGTACACGTACGCGATGCTTGTGGGTCTGACCGAGAGAGGCCAGAGCCTCCTGGTGATGTGGCGATGTGCGCGTCTGCGAGAAACCCGTTTACCTTTAAACTTCTCTCCCGTGGTAGCGGCTCTCTCGAGACGCGACCGACGCAAAAACCGTCGAGACGAGGACGAAGGAGTCGCAGCGAGAAACGCGTGCACCGTTCCGGACGGCGACGTGATCAAAAGCTGGCCTGAACGGGGTCACGAGACCCGAACCATCACGATTCCGTGGGCTTGGGTGCTGGATCTTTTAGCTTCAACCATCGATCCGAAGCTTCGGCTAATTATTTTTTTTCCCTTTTTTTTTTCTCCTTTTACCGTATTCCA